CACATAATATAATGACACAAGCACATCATATAAAGATGTTTGCACATAATATAAGGAAAAATGCATATCATATAAGGATATTTGCACATCATATAAGGATATTTGCACATCATATAAGTACATTTGCACATCATATAAGTATATTTGCACATCATATAAGTACATTTGCACATCATATAGGTATATTTGGACATCATATAAGTACATTTGCACATCATATAAGTACATTTGCACATCATATAAGTATGTTTGCACATCATATAAGGATGTTTGCACATCATATAAGTATATTTGCACAACATATAATGTCAACTGGACACCATATAAAGGTGTTTGCACATCATATAATGACAAGTGCACATCATGTAAAGGTAAACGCACATCATATATTGAAAATGGGCATAATAAGACAGTTTTGGCGTTCCATAGATATCGATATCATCACAGATGGCTGATACAGCACGATTGTCATCAATTGTATAACACATACAATTTACCCGTATTTACTACTAAGTATATAATAAATGTAAATATTGTTTATTGGCTACAAGATTCGACTCTCTCTCTCTCTCATAATAAAATTGAGAATGGAAATGGGGAATATGTCAAAGAGACAACAACCCGACCAAAGAGCAGAAAACAGCCGAAGGCCACAATGGGACTTCAACACAGCGAAAAAATCCCGCATGCGGAGGCGGGCTTCAGCTGGCCCCTAAATAAAAATGTGTACTAGTTCAGTGAAAATGGACGTCATACTAAACTCCAAAACATAAATGAACCAAAATTAAAAAACATACAAGACTAACAAAGGCCAGAGGCTCCTGACTTGGGACAGGCGCAAAAATGCGGCGGGGTAAAACATGTTTTGTGAGATCTCAACCCCCTATGTACCTCTAGCCAATGTAGAATAAACAAACACACAGCAATACGCACAGTAAAACTCAGTTTAAAAGAAGTCCGAGTCCGATGTCAGAATAGGTAACAAAAGAAACTAAGCAACATGACATAAATAAACAAAGGACTACTAGCCAGCTCCAGACTTCAATTAAACTGATTGAAAGATTACGTCTTCATCATATGAAAATCAAGCACAATCCCTCCCGTTAGGGGTTTAGTATCATACCATCATAAAATATTTGAGAACATAACCCGTATCATGCCAACAACTGGTTTTAGAACAAATGTGATTATTTCCGATGCAAAGATCCTATGAGTGAATCAATATTAATACCAAAATATGCCATCCTCAATGACCTGACAACAGTATCGTAACTATATCCCTTCGGAATAAGTCTTTTTAAAGGGTTGGTTAGGTTTTGAGGTGAATGCCGACATTTTTGTGCTTTGTAAAGAATATTACCATAAAAGATTGGATGTGAAATACTTGAACGTATAAGATGTCTGCATGTTGATTTATATTTACGAATAATGTCCTTGTACCGATAATAAAATTTAGTAAATGTTTTGACTAGTTTGTGATATCGAAAACCCTGGTGTAATAATTTTTCAGTAATACAGAGATTTCTTTCGTTAAAATCAAATACGTTGTTACATACACGAGCGAATCGAACAAGTTGAGATATATAAACACCATAAGATGCATGCATGGTGACAAGGGAACGTCACCATCTAAAAATGGATAATTAACAATAGGAAATGAAAAATCAACTCTTTTAACATAAATGTTGGTACTAAGCTTCCTGTTAAAGATATAGATATCAAGATCCAGGAAAGAGCAGTGTTCCTTGTTAGAATTAGCTTTATTTAAGGGCATACGATACAGTTTTGATCCCATAATGAAAATTTGATGAAAATTTGCAAATAGGCTATTTTTTACCTGATTAAATCAAATATGTAATAAAATATATACCTTCATGTGCTACTTTTTGAGTAAATTGAGTTCGAAATTTCAGATATTTGCTCAAAATTCGGATTTGTGGACGTATTTTTCCTTCCGACAGAAATGCATAACTTTTTTGTTTTAAAAGATAAACACAAGCTGTTTTTTGTTAAATTATTTGTAATTTCTGTTTTATATAAGTATCCTATAAATTTATGAAATCTTTTGTTTAGAAATAACTCAAATTTATCAAATGTTCATTAATGTAGAAAAAAAACGTCATTTTTTGCTGTATATTTATCAAATTTAAAAAAAATGCATTATTGACTTTTTCATGAAAATTGGTACAAATAATCTTCATACGTAATCAAACCGAATGTCATTTTAAAAAAGAGGGGTCCATGAACTCGTTTTCAAGTTAAATCAGTTTGAATGATGAAAATCAGTCGAAAAATACATCTTTTCCCGATATGTAACAGTTTGACGTCGCCAAAATAACATTTTACGTTAGCAACGTCATTACCTCCCCTGTAACTGTATCGTATGCCCTTAACGTCAGTTCAGCAGGATAAATCTCTTTTGTGTACATACTGAAGTCGTCATTATTGAGAGCCAATATATCATCCAAATATCTAAAAGTGTTATTAAATTTTTGTATCAGGTGTTGTTTCGATGGGTCTTAAATAAAAATGGATAGCATTATAAATGATTTTTTCTAAGATTGGCAATTTCCGAGCCGAGTCCGTTAAAAATATCAAAAATTCCAATATCTTCAATTGAAGAAAAGGGACTTTGCAAAGACGAAAATAAAACGAAACTACAGCTTCTTGCAATGATTGAAGAAAATATTGCTTCATCATCATCAGAACAAAGGGAACAGTTTGAGATAGTAAACAAATCCTAAACAATCTGAAATATGCCAAAAAATCAATTCTCATAGATTAACATTGTCTGACAAGAATTAAGAAATGTCTTGAACAGTTTCAATTAATCATGATAGTTGATATAAGTTTTATACATGTACTGTACCAGGCTGTCAAATTATGAATATATATATTCTACCACTGCATCGAGTGTGATACGATATTTATCCACTCGAGACAGTTAAATTTTCAAATTTAAAACGCGAGGCTCGCCGAGCGTTTTAAATATTTAAAATTTAACTGTCGAGAGTGGATAAATATCGTATTACACGAGATTTGGTGGTGGAATCTGTTTCTCTAATGATTTTCAAACAATACGCAGGCAAATTTATTCCTTCTTTTCGAATGATCTTCAAAAAGATGTGTTCTCTCTATGTGACGTCTTCAGGCATGGTCGCCTTTTTTCATGCCGTCACAATAGGAAATTCAGAAGAAAGCAAGAAAATTCGACGTCATAATCGGATTTTAACCAATGAAGAACTGAGATCAAACGAACCACACGTTGATTAAAATTTTTTTATACAATGGGTGCAGAAAAGGATAAATTGACGAAGAATTAGAAAAATATAAATATTACACAGAATTCTATAGTAAATATTTCTTTTCAAGATAATGGAAAACAGAAATATCTGAAAGGTATTTGTGTTTGTTTCTTAGAGACAAAGTAATAAAAGGGGACGAAGTCCGTATAATTATTTTTTAACTCCAGAATATGTTGAAAAAGATACGGAAACGTTCCCGATGTTTGTCCTGTTGTTAGGGATTTTAGTTGTGACGTCATGTTCAATGTAAGGTAGCAATAAACAGTTAGGAAAAAATGTTAAAATTTTCCCTCATAAATTTCACCATCCCCTTTTCATTGCCTTCTTGCAATATTAAGCTTACTGTTTGTGTCATATATGTGCATATGTATGTAATCAGAATCTTCCATAGATTTCATATCCAGTATATAAAATGGTTAAATATAATTTCTTTTTGGTGTATCCATGGCAACAATCTGCATTCTTTTGATATAAAATATAGCAAAAAGGGGGGAAAAGATGTCACATATTTTCCCAAAATTTGACCAAAAGTAGAATTTCAATCACTTCAAGTAATACCTTATCTGAAACTGTTTACATATATCTTTCAATAAATCCAATGAAAATCATATGTCTTTCGTCTCATTTTTTTGTAAAATTGCGTCAAAAACTTCGTGTAGAAAAAAAGTGTTTGTAAACATTACATTAATTTCTGGACCGATGACCGGTCTAGCTATGAAAATACGGAGAGTCAAACAGAAAATAGCCAATAAAACATGTAAAAAATAATCTTGATGTTCTTTGAAGGCTAAATTAGTACTCAGCTGTCTAAAAATGAATTTTATTACACAATAACTTTCATATTTGAAAAATCCACCGGGGCCAAAATGCGAAACCAAACTCCTAACTGTGTATTGCTACCTTAATAGTAAATATTTTTTTCAAATTCTCCCTTTTAACTAATTTTCTGTGTTCTGCTAGCTAAAACCAGTAAAATGGCCTTTTATTTTTGAAAATTGGTTGAGTAATGAATATTTTATGAAGGTTAGCAGTTGACACTGAAACGCGACAAAAACTGATTTAAAGAAAGGTGCCAAGTCAAAGTGTAAAATCTTTTTTCTACCTCAATTTTTGGCAAAATCTTAAAAACTATACCTCTTTTGTCAGTTTTTTAATGTTGAAAATCTTTATAAGACCTCTGATGATGCAAAATTGTACAAAATTTAACAATTTCAAGCATGAAAATGTTAATCTTTATGTTTAATGTATACCAAAGACTTGATTAAAAAACTTGGTAATGGGGAATCAATTTCTTACAGCTGAATCAACTATACATTTAATATTTGTCAAAATGTAACATGAAATCTTGATAAAAATAATAATTTGATATATTCGCAAGAAAAAATACAAAATATTCAATACTTAGGCTACTACATACTGCACAATCCTTCAGAAGCAAGGGTTAAGCAAATACAGTACACTTATAAGCCTTGTGTCAAAATGTCTAATTTTGGTTGCTAAGGACTGTAAACAATAAAATTGACATATATTGTCATTCTTAAACACTTAATCCTCTCAGAAGTTGACTTAGAATCTAAATATATATAGATTTGTGGTATGAAAAGTCTTAAATTATACAATTCTGAGCTTGGTAAGTATGCCATAAGGTAGCAATAAACAGTTAGGAAAAAATGTTAAAATTTTCCCACATAAATTTTCCCATCCCCTTTTCATTGCCTTCTTGCAATATTAAGCTTACTGTTTGTGTCATATATGTGCATATGTATGTAATCAGAATCTTCCATAGATTTCATATCCAGTATATAAAATGGTTAAATATAATTTCTTTTTGGTGTATCCATGGCAACAATCTGCATTCTTTTGATATAAAATATAGCAAAAAGGGGGGAAAAGATGTCACATATTTTCCCAAAATTTGACCAAAAGTAGAATTTCAATCACTTCAAGTAATACCTTATCTGAAACTGTTTACATATATCTTTCAATAAATCCAATGAAAATCATATGTCTTTCGTCTCATTTTTTTGTAAAATTGCGTCAAAAACTTCGTGTAGAAAAAAAGTGTTTGTAAACATTACATTAATTTCTGGACCGATGACCGGTCTAGCTATGAAAATACGGAGAGTCAAACAGAAAATAGCCAATAAAACATGTAAAAAATAATCTTGATGTTCTTATAAACCACCTTTGAAGGCTAAATTAGTACTCAGCTGTCTAAAAATGAATTTTATTACACAATAACTTTCATATTTGAAAAATCCACCGGGGCCAAAATGCGAAACCAAACTCCTAACTGTGTATTGCTACCTTAATAGTAAATATTTTTTTCAAATTCTCCCTTTTAACTAATTTTCTGTGTTCTGCTAGCTAAAACCAGTAAAATGGCCTTTTATTTTTGAAAATTGGTTGAGTAATGAATATTTTATGAAGGTTAGCAGTTGACACTGAAACGCGACAAAAACTGATTTAAAGAAAGGTGCCAAGTCAAAGTGTAAAATCTTTTTTCTACCTCAATTTTTGGCAAAATCTTAAAAACTATACCTCTTTTGTCAGTTTTTTAATGTTGAAAATCTTTATAAGACCTCTGATGATGCAAAATTGTACAAAATTTAACAATTTCAAGCATGAAAATGTTAATCTTTATGTTTAATGTATACCAAAGACTTGATTAAAAAACTTGGTAATGGGGAATCAATTTCTTACAGCTGAATCAACTATACATTTAATATTTGTCAAAATGTAACATGAAATCTTGATAAAAATAATAATTTGATATATTCGCAAGAAAAAATACAAAATATTCAATACTTAGGCTACTACATACTGCACAATCCTTCAGAAGCAAGGGTTAAGCAAATACAGTACACTTATAAGCCTTGTGTCAAAATGTCTAATTTTGGTTGCTAAGGACTGTAAACAATAAAATTGACATATATTGTCATTCTTAAACACTTAATCCTCTCAGAAGTTGACTTAGAATCTAAATATATATAGATTTGTGGTATGAAAAGTCTTAAATTATACAATTCTGAGCTTGGTAAGTATGCCATAAGGTAGCAATAAACAGTTAGGAAAAAATGTTAAAATTTTCCCTCATAAATTTTCCCATCCCCTTTTCATTGCCTTCTTGCAATATTAAGCTTACTGTTTGTGTCATATATGTGCATATGTATGTAATCAGAATCTTCCATAGATTTCATATCCAGTATATAAAATGGTTAAATATAATTTCTTTTTGGTGTATCCATGGCAACAATCTGCATTCTTTTGATATAAAATATAGCAAAAAGGGGGGAAAAGATGTCACATATTTTCCCAAAATTTGACCAAAAGTAGAATTTCAATCACTTCAAGTAATACCTTATCTGAAACTGTTTACATATATCTTTCAATTAATCCAATGAAAATCATATGTCTTTCGTCTCATTTTTTTGTAAAATTGCGTCAAAAACTTCGTGTAGAAAAAAAGTGTTTGTAAACATTACATTAATTTCTGGACCGATGACCGGTCTAGCTATGAAAATACGGAGAGTCAAACAGAAAATAGCCAATAAAACATGTAAAAAATAATCTTGATGTTCTTATAAACCACCTTTGAAGGCTAAATTAGTACTCAGCTGTCTAAAAATGAATTTTATTACACAATAACTTTCATATTTGAAAAATCCACCGGGGCCAAAATGCGAAACCAAACTCCTAACTGTGTATTGCTACCTTAATAGTAAATATTTTTTTCAAATTAACCCTTTTAACTAATTTTCTGTGTTCTGCTAGCTAAAACCAGTAAAATGGCCTTTTATTTTTGAAAATTGGTTGAGTAATGAATATTTTATGAAGGTTAGCAGTTGACACTGAAACGCGACAAAAACTGATTTAAAGAAAGGTGCCAAGTCAAAGTGTAAAATCTTTTTTCTACCTCAATTTTTGGCAAAATCTTAAAAACTATACCTCTTTTGTCAGTTTTTTAATGTTGAAAATCTTTATAAGACCTCTGATGATGCAAAATTGTACAAAATTTAACAATTTCAAGCATGAAAATGTTAATCTTTATGTTTAATGTATACCAAAGACTTGATTAAAAAACTTGGTAATGGGGAATCAATTTCTTACAGCTGAATCAACTATACATTTAATATTTGTCAAAATGTAACATGAAATCTTGATAAAAATAATAATTTGATATATTCGCAAGAAAAAATACAAAATATTCAATACTTAGGCTACTACATACTGCACAATCCTTCAGAAGCAAGGGTTAAGCAAATACAGTACACTTATAAGCCTTGTGTCAAAATGTCTAATTTTGGTTGCTAAGGACTGTAAACAATAAAATTGACATATATTGTCATTCTTAAACACTTAATCCTCTCAGAAGTTGACTTAGAATCTAAATATATATAGATTTGTGGTATGAAAAGTCTTAAATTATACAATTCTGAGCTTGGTAAGTATGCCATAAGGTAGCAATAAACAGTTAGGAAAAAATGTTAAAATTTTCCCTCATAAATTTTCCCATCCCCTTTTCATTGCCTTCTTGCAATATTAAGCTTACTGTTTGTGTCATATATGTGCATATGTATGTAATCAGAATCTTCCATAGATTTCATATCCAGTATATAAAATGGTTAAATATAATTTCTTTTTGGTGTATCCATGGCAACAATCTGCATTCTTTTGATATAAAATATAGCAAAAAGGGGGGAAAAGATGTCACATATTTTCCCAAAATTTGACCAAAAGTAGAATTTCAATCACTTCAAGTAATACCTTATCTGAAACTGTTTACATATATCTTTCAATAAATCCAATGAAAATCATATGTCTTTCGTCTCATTTTTTTGTAAAATTGCGTCAAAAACTTCGTGTAGAAAAAAAGTGTTTGTAAACATTACATTAATTTCTGGACCGATGACCGGTCTAGCTATGAAAATACGGAGAGTCAAACAGAAAATAGCCAATAAAACATGTAAAAAATAATCTTGATGTTCTTATAAACCACCTTTGAAGGCTAAATTAGTACTCAGCTGTCTAAAAATGAATTTTATTACACAATAACTTTCATATTTGAAAAATCCACCGGGGCCAAAATGCGAAACCAAACTCCTAACTGTGTATTGCTACCTTAATAGTAAATATTTTTTTCAAATTCTCCCTTTTAACTAATTTTCTGTGTTCTGCTAGCTAAAACCAGTAAAATGGCCTTTTATTTTTGAAAATTGGTTGAGTAATGAATATTTTATGAAGGTTAGCAGTTGACACTGAAACGCGACAAAAACTGATTTAAAGAAAGGTGCCAAGTCAAAGTGTAAAATCTTTTTTCTACCTCAATTTTTGGCAAAATCTTAAAAACTATACCTCTTTTGTCAGTTTTTTAATGTTGAAAATCTTTATAAGACCTCTGATGATGCAAAATTGTACAAAATTTAACAATTTCAAGCATGAAAATGTTAATCTTTATGTTTAATGTATACCAAAGACTTGATTAAAAAACTTGGTAATGGGGAATCAATTTCTTACAGCTGAATCAACTATACATTTAATATTTGTCAAAATGTAACATGAAATCTTGATAAAAATAATAATTTGATATATTCGCAAGAAAAAATACAAAATATTCAATACTTAGGCTACTACATACTGCACAATCCTTCAGAAGCAAGGGTTAAGCAAATACAGTACACTTATAAGCCTTGTGTCAAAATGTCTAATTTTGGTTGCTAAGGACTGTAAACAATAAAATTGACATATATTGTCATTCTTAAACACTTAATCCTCTCAGAAGTTGACTTAGAATCTAAATATATATAGATTTGTGGTATGAAAAGTCTTAAATTATACAATTCTGAGCTTGGTAAGTATGCCATAAGGTAGCAATAAACAGTTAGGAAAAAATGTTAAAATTTTCCCTCATAAATTTTCCCATCCCCTTTTCATTGCCTTCTTGCAATATTAAGCTTACTGTTTGTGTCATATATGTGCATATGTATGTAATCAGAATCTTCCATAGATTTCATATCCAGTATATAAAATGGTTAAATATAATTTCTTTTTGGTGTATCCATGGCAACAATCTGCATTCTTTTGATATAAAATATAGCAAAAAGGGGGGAAAAGATGTCACATATTTTCCCAAAATTTGACTAAAAGTAGAATTTCAATCACTTCAAGTAATACCTTATCTGAAACTGTTTACATATATCTTTCAATAAATCCAATGAAAATCATATGTCTTTCGTCTCATTTTTTTGTAAAATTGCGTCAAAAACTTCGTGTAGAAAAAAAGTGTTTGTAAACATTACATTAATTTCTGGACCGATGACCGGTCTAGCTATGAAAATACGGAGAGTCAAACAGAAAATAGCCAATAAAACATGTAAAAAATAATCTTGATGTTCTTATAAACCACCTTTGAAGGCTAAATTAGTACTCAGCTGTCTAAAAATGAATTTTATTACACAATAACTTTCATATTTGAAAAGTCCACCGGGGCCAAAATGCGAAACCAAACTCCTAACTGTGTATTGCTACCTTAATAGTAAATATTTTTTTCAAATTCTCCCTTTTAACTAATTTTCTGTGTTCTGCTAGCTAAAACCAGTAAAATGGCCTTTTATTTTTGAAAATTGGTTGAGTAATGAATATTTTATGAAGGTTAGCAGTTGACACTGAAACGCGACAAAAACTGATTTAAAGAAAGGTGCCAAGTCAAAGTGTAAAATCTTTTTTCTACCTCAATTTTTGGCAAAATCTTAAAAACTATACCTCTTTTGTCAGTTTTTTAATGTTGAAAATCTTTATAAGACCTCTGATGATGCAAAATTGTACAAAATTTAACAATTTCAAGCATGAAAATGTTAATCTTTATGTTTAATGTATACCAAAGACTTGATTAAAAAACTTGGTAATGGGGAATCAATTTCTTACAGCTGAATCAACTATACATTTAATATTTGTCAAAATGTAACATGAAATCTTGATAAAAATAATAATTTGATATATTCGCAAGAAAAAATACAAAATATTCAATACTTAGGCTACTACATACTGCACAATCCTTCAGAAGCAAGGGTTAAGCAAATACAGTACACTTATAAGCCTTGTGTCAAAATGTCTAATTTTGGTTGCTAAGGACTGTAAACAATAAAATTGACATATATTGTCATTCTTAAACACTTAATCCTCTCAGAAGTTGACTTAGAATCTAAATATATATAGATTTGTGGTATGAAAAGTCTTAAATTATACAATTCTGAGCTTGGTAAGTATGCCTTAATAGTAAATATTTTTTTCAAATTCTCCCTTTTAACTAATTTTCTGTGTTCTGCTAGCTAAAACCAGTAAAATGGCCTTTTATTTTTGAAAATTGGTTGAGTAATGAATATTTTATGAAGGTTAGCAGTTGACACTGAAACGCGACAAAAACTGATTTAAAGAAAGGTGCCAAGTCAAAGTGTAAAATCTTTTTTCTACCTCAATTTTTAGGCAAAATCTTAAAAACTATACCTCTTTTGTCAGTTTTTTAATGTTGAAAATCTTTATAAGACCTCTGATGATGCAAAATTGTACAAAATTTAACAATTTCAAGCATGAAAATGTTAATCTTTATGTTTAATGTATACCAAAGACTTGATTAAAAAACTTGGTAATGGGGAATCAATTTCTTACAGCTGAATCAACTATACATTTAATATTTGTCAAAATGTAACATGAAATCTTGATAAAAATAATAATTTGATATATTCGCAAGAAAAAATACAAAATATTCAATACTTAGGCTACTACATACTGCACAATCCTTCAGAAGCAAGGGTTAAGCAAATACAGTACACTTATAAGCCTTGTGTCAAAATGTCTAATTTTGGTTGCTAAGGACTGTAAACAATAAAATTGACATATATTGTCATTCTTAAACACTTAATCCTCTCAGAAGTTGACTTAGAATCTAAATATATATAGATTTGTGGTATGAAAAGTCTTAAATTATACAATTCTGAGCTTGGTAAGTATGCCATAATAGTAAATATTTTTTTCAAATTCTCCCTTTTAACTAATTTTCTGTGTTCTGCTAGCTAAAACCAGTAAAATGGCCTTTTATTTCTGAAAATTGGTTGAGTAATGAATATTTTATGAAGGTTAGCAGTTGACACTGAAACGCGACAAAAACTGATTTAAAGAAAGGTGCCAAGTCAAAGTGTAAAATCTTTTTTCTACCTCAATTTTTGGCAAAATCTTAAAAACTATACCTCTTTTGTCAGTTTTTTAATGTTGAAAATCTTTATAAGACCTCTGATGATGCAAAATTGTACAAAATTTAACAATTTCAAGCATGAAAATGTTAATCTTTATGTTTAATGTATACCAAAGACTTGATTAAAAAACTTGGTAATGGGGAATCAATTTCTTACAGCTGAATCAACTATACATTTAATATTTGTCAAAATGTAACATGAAATCTTGATAAAAATAATAATTTGATATATTCGCAAGAAAAATACAAAATATTCAATACTTAGGCTACTACATACTGCACAATCCTTCAGAAGCAAGGGTTAAGCAAATACAGTACACTTATAAGCCTTGTGTCAAAATGTCTAATTTTGGTTGCTAAGGACTGTAAACAATAAAATTGACATATATTGTCATTCTTAAACACTTAATCCTCTCAGAAGTTGACTTAGAATCTAAATATATATAGATTTGTGGTATGAAAAGTCTTAAATTATACAATTCTGAGCTTGGTAAGTATGCCTTAATAGTAAATATTTTTTTCAAATTCTCCCTTTTAACTAATTTTCTGTGTTCTGCTAGCTAAAACCAGTAAAATGGCCTTTTATTTTTGAAAATTGGTTGAGTAATGAATATTTTATGAAGGTTAGCAGTTGACACTGAAACGCGACAAAAACTGATTTAAAGAAAGGTGCCAAGTCAAAGTGTAAAATCTTTTTTCTACCTCAATTTTTGGCAAAATCTTAAAAACTATACCTCTTTTGTCAGTTTTTTAATGTTGAAAATCTTTATAAGACCTCTGATGATGCAAAATTGTACAAAATTTAACAATTTCAAGCATGAAAATATTAATCTTTATGTTTAATGTATACCAAAGACTTGATTAAAAAACTTGGTAATGGGGAATCAATTTCTTACAGCTGAATCAACTATACATTTAATATTTGTCAAAATGTAACATGAAATCTTGATAAAAATAATAATTTGATATATTCGCAAGAAAAAATACAAAATATTCAATACTTAGGCTACTACATACTGCACAATCCTTCAGAAGCAAGGGTTAAGCAAATACAGTACACTTATAAGCCTTGTGTCAAAATGTCTAATTTTGGTTGCTAAGGACTGTAAATAATAAAATTGACATATATTGTCATTCTTAAACACTTAATCCTCTCAGAAGTTGACTTAGAATCTAAATATATATAGATTTGTGGTATGAAAAGTCTTAAATTATACAATTCTGAGCTTGGTAAGTATGCCATAAGGTAGCAATAAACAGTTAGGAAAAAATGTTAAAATTTTCCCTCATAAATTTTCCCATCCCCTTTTCATTGCCTTCTTGCAATATTAAGCTTACTGTTTGTGTCATATATGTGCATATGTATGTAATCAGAATCTTCCATAGATTTCATATCCAGTATATAAAATGGTTAAATATAATTTCTTTTTGGTGTATCCATGGCAACAATCTGCATTCTTTTGATATAAAATATAGCAAAAAGGGGGGAAAAGATGTCACATATTTTCCCAAAATTTGACCAAAAGTAGAATTTCAATCACTTCAAGTAATACCTTATCTGAAACTGTTTACATATATCTTTCAATAAATCCAATGAAAATCATATGTCTTTCGTCTCATTTTTTTGTAAAATTGCGTCAAAAACTTCGTGTAGAAAAAAAGTGTTTGTAAACATTACATTAATTTCTGGACCGATGACCGGTCTAGCTATGAAAATACGGAGAGTCAAACAGAAAATAGCCAATAAAACATGTAAAAAATAATCTTGATGTTCTTATAAACCACCTTTGAAGGCTAAATTAGTACTCAGCTGTCTAAAAATGAATTTTATTACACAATAACTTTCATATTTGAAAAATCCACCGGGGCCAAAATGCGAAACCAAACTCCTAACTGTGTATTGCTACCTTAATAGTAAATATTTTTTTCAAATTCTCCCTTTTAACTAATTTTCTGTGTTCTGCTAGCTAAAACCAGTAAAATGGCCTTTTATTTTTGAAAATTGGTTGAGTAATGAATATTTTATGAAGGTTAGCAGTTGACACTGAAACGCGACAAAAACTGATTTAAAGAAAGGTGCCAAGTCAAAGTGTAAAATCTTTTTTCTACCTCAATTTTTGGCAAAATCTTAAAAACTATACCTCTTTTGTCAGTTTTTTAATGTTGAAAATCTTTATAAGACCTCTGATGATGCAAAATTGTACAAAATTTAACAATTTCAAGCATGAAAATGTTAATCTTTATGTTTAATGTATACCAAAGACTTGATTAAAAAACTTGGTAATGGGGAATCAATTTCTTACAGCTGAATCAACTATACATTTAATATTTGTCAAAATGTAACATGAAATCTTGATAAAAATAATAATTTGATATATTCGCAAGAAAAAATACAAAATATTCAATACTTAGGCTACTACATACTGCACAATCCTTCAGAAGCAAGGGTTAAGCAAATACAGTACACTTATAAGCCTTGTGTCAAAATGTCTAATTTTGGTTGCTAAGGACTGTAAACAATAAAATTGACATATATTGTCATTCTTAAACACTTAATCCTCTCAGAAGTTGACTTAGAATCTAAATATATATAGATTTGTGGTATGAAAAGTCTTAAATTATACAATTCTGAGCTTGGTAAGTATGCCTTAATAGTAAATATTTTTTTCAAATTCTCCCTTTTAACTAATTTTCTGTGTTCTGCTAGCTAAAACCAGTAAAATGGCCTTTTATTTTTGAAAATTGGTTGAGTAATGAATATTTTATGAAGGTTAGCAGTTGACACTGAAACGCGACAAAAACTGATTTAAAGAAAGGTGCCAAGTCAAAGTGTAAAATCTTTTTTCTACCTCAATTTTTGGCAAAATCTTAAAAACTATACCTCTTTTGTCAGTTTTTTAATGTTGAAAATCTTTATAAGACCTCTGATGATGCAAAATTGTACAAAATTTAACAATTTCAAGCATGAAAATGTTAATCTTTATGTTTAATGTATACCAAAGACTTGATTAAAAAACTTGGTAATGGGGAATCAATTTCTTACAGCTGAATCAACTATACATTTAATATTTGTCAAAATGTAACATGAAATCTTGATAAAAATAATAATTTGATATATTCGCAAGAAAAAATACAAAATATTCAATACTTAGGCTACTACATACTGCACAATCCTTCAGAAGCAAGGGTTAAGCAAATACAGTACACTTATAAGCCTTGTGTCAAAATGTCTAATTTTGGTTGCTAAGGACTGTAAACAATAAAATTGACATATATTGTCATTCTTAAACACTTAATCCTCTCAGAAGTTGACTTAGAATCTAAATATATATAGATTTGTGGTATGAAAAGTCTTAAATTATACAATTCTGAGCTTGGTAAGTATGCCATAAGGTAGCAATAAACAGTTAGGAAAAAATGTTAAAATTTTCCCTCATAAATTTTCCCATCCCCTTTTCATTGCCTTCTTGCAATATTAAGCTTACTGTTTGTGTCATATATGTGCATATGTATGTAATCAGAATCTTCCATAGATTTCATATCCAGTATATAAAATGGTTAAATATAATTTCTTTTTGGTGTATCCATGGCAACAATCTGCATTCTTTTGATATAAAATATAGCAAAAAGGGGGGAAAAGATGTCACATATTTTCCCAAAATTTGACCAAAAGTAGAATTTCAATCACTTCAAGTAATACCTTATCTGAAACTGTTTACATATATCTTTCAATAAATCCAATGAAAATCATATGTCTTTCGTCTCATTTTTTTGTAAAATTGCGTCAAAAACTTCGTGTAGAAAAAAAGTGTTTGTAAACATTACATTAATTTCTGGACCGATGACCGGTCTAGCTATGAAAATACGGAGAGTCAAACAGAAAATAGCCAATAAAACATGTAAAAAATAATCTTGATGTTCTTATAAACCACCTTTGAAGGCTAAATTAGTACTCAGCTGTCTAAAAATGAATTTTATTACACAATAACTTTCATATTTGAAAAATCCACCGGGGCCAAAATGCGAAACCAAACTCCTAACTGTGTATTGCTACCTTAATAGTAAATATTTTTTTCAAATTCTCCCTTTTAACTAATTTTCTGTGTTCTGCTAGCTAAAACCAGTAAAATGGCCTTTTATTTTTGAAAATTGGTTGAGTAATGAATATTTTATGAAGGTTAGCAGTTGACACTGAAACGCGACAAAAACTGATTTAAAGAAAGGTGCCAAGTCAAAGTGTAAAATCTTTTTTCTACCTCAATTTTTGGCAAAATCTTAAAAACTATACCTCTTTTGTCAGTTTTTTAATGTTGAAAATCTTTATAAGACCTCTGATGATGCAAAATTGTACAAAATTTAACAATTTCAAGCATGAAAATGTTAATCTTTATGTTTAATGTATACCAAAGACTTGATTAAAAAACTTGGTAATGGGGAATCAATTTCTTACAGCTGAATCAACTATACATTTAATATTTGTCAAAATGTAACATGAAATCTTGATAAAAATAATAATTTGATATATTCGCAAGAAAAAATACAAAATATTCAATACTTAGGCTACTACATACTGCACAATCCTTCAGAAGCAAGGGTTAAGCAAATACAGTACACTTATAAGCCTTGTGTCAAAATGTCTAATTTTGGTTGCTAAGGACTGTAAACAATAAAATTGACATATATTGTCATTCTTAAACACTTAATCCTCTCAGAAGTTGACTTAGAATCTAAATATATATAGATTTGTGGTATGAAAAGTCTTAAATTATACAATTCTGAGCTTGGTAAGTATGCCATAATAGTAAATATTTTTTTCAAATTCTCCCTTTTAACTAATTTTCTGTGTTCTGCTAGCTAAAACCAGTAAAATGGCCTTTTATTTTTGAAAATTGGTTGAGTAATGAATATTTTATGAAGGTTAGCAGTTGACACTGAAACGCGACAAAAAATGATTTAAAGAAAGGTGCCAAGTCAAAGTGTAAAATCTTTTTTCTACCTCAATTTTTGGCAAAATCTTAAAAACTATACCTCTTTTGTCAGTTTTTTAATGTTGAAAATCTTTATAAGACCTCTGATGATGCAAAATTGTACAAAATTTAACAATTTCAAGCATGAAAATGTTAATCTTTATGTTTAATGTATACCAAAGACTTGATTAAAAAACTTGGTAATGGGGAATCAATTTCTTACAGCTGAATCAACTATACATTTAATATTTGTCAAAATGTAACATGAAATCTTGATAAAAATAATAATTTGATATATTCGCAAGAAAAAATACAAAATATTCAATACTTAGGCTACTACATACTGCACAATCCTTCAGAAGCAAGGGTTAAGCAAATACAGTACACTTATAAGCCTTGTGTCAAAATGTCTAATTTTGGTTGCTAAGGACTGTAAACAATAAAATTGACATATATTGTCATTCTTAAACACTTAATCCTCTCAGAAGTTGACTTAGAATCTAAATATATATAGATTTGTGGTATGAAAAGTCTTAAATTATACAATTCTGAGCTTGGTAAGTATGCCATAAGGTAGCAATAAACAGTTAGGAAAAAATGTTAAAATTTTCCCTCATAAATTTTCCCATCCCCTTTTCATTGCCTTCTTGCAATATTAAGCTTACTGTTTGTGTCATATATGTGCATATGTATGTAATCAGAATCTTCCATAGATTTCATATCCAGTATATAAAATGGTTAAATATAATTTCTTTTTGGTGTATCCATGGCAACAATCTGCATTCTTTTGATATAAAATATAGCAAAAAGGGGGGAAAAGATGTCACATATTTTCCCAAAATTTGACCAAAAGTAGAATTTCAATCACTTCAAGTAATACCTTATCTGAAACTGTTTACATATATCTTTCAATAAATCCAATGAAAATCATATGTCTTTCGTCTCATTTTTTTGTAAAATTGCGTCAAAAACTTCGTGTAGAAAAAAAGTGTTTGTAAACATTACATTAATTTCTGGACCGATGACCGGTCTAGCTATGAAAATACGGAGAGTCAAACAGAAAATAGCCAATAAAACATGTAAAAAATAATCTTGATGTTCTTATAAACCACCTTTGAAGGCTAAATTAGTACTTAGCTGTCTAAAAATGAATTTTATTACACAATAACTTTCATATTTGAAAAATCCACCGGGGCCAAAATGCGAAACCAAACTCCTAACTGTGTATTGCTACCTTAATAGTAAATATTTTTTTCAAATTCTCCCTTTTAACTAATTTTCTGTGTTCTGCTAGCTAAAACCAGTAAAATGGCCTTTTATTTTTGAAAATTGGTTGAGTAATGAATATTTTATGAAGGTTAGCAGTTGACACTGAAACGCGACAAAAACTGATTTAAAGAAAGGTGCCAAGTCAAAGTGTAAAATCTTTTTTCTACCTCAATTTTTGGCAAAATCTTAAAAACTATACCTCTTTTGTCAGTTTTTTAATGTTGAAAATCTTTATAAGACCTCTGATGATGCAAAATTGTACAAAATTTAACAATTTCAAGCATGAAAATGTTAATCTTTATGTTTAATGTATACCAAAGACTTGATTAAAAAACTTGGTAATGGGGAATCAATTTCTTACAGCTGAATCAACTATACATTTAATATTTGTCAAAATGTAACATGAAATCTTGATAAAAATAATAATTTGATATATTCGCAAGAAAAAATACAAAATATTCAATACTTAGGCTACTACATACTGCACAATCCTTCAGAAGCAAGGGTTAAGCAAATACAGTACACTTATAAGCCTTGTGTCAAAATGTCTAATTTTGGTTGCTAAGGACTGTAAACAATAAAATTGACATATATTGTCATTCTTAAACACTTAATCCTCTCAGAAGTTGACTTAGAATCTAAATATATATAGATTTGTGGTATGAAAAGTCTTAAATTATACAATTCTGAGCTTGGTAAGTATGCCATAAGGTAGCAATAAACAGTTAGGAAAAAATGTTAAAATTTTCCCTCATAAATTTTCCCATCCCCTTTTCATTGCCTTCTTGCAATATTAAGCTTACTGTTTGTGTCATATATGTGCATATGTATGTAATCAGAATCTTCCATAGATTTCATATCCAGTATATAAAATGGTTAAATATAATTTCTTTTTGGTGTATCCATGGCAACAATCTGCATTCTTTTGATATAAAATATAGCAAAAAGGGGGGAAAAGATGTCACATATTTTCCCAAAATTTGACCAAAAGTAGAATTTCAATCACTTCAAGTAATACCTTATCTGAAACTGTTTACATATATCTTTCAATAAATCCAATGAAAATCATATGTCTTTCGTCTCATTTTTTTGTAAAATTGCGTCAAAAACTTCGTGTAGAAAAAAAGTGTTTGTAAACATTACATTAATTTCTGGACCGATGACCGGTCTAGCTATGAAAATACGGAGAGTCAAACAGAAAATAGCCAATAAAACATGTAAAAAATAATCTTGATGTTCTTATAAACCACCTTTGAAGGCTAAATTAGTACTTAGCTGTCTAAAAATGAATTTTATTACACAATAACTTTCATATTTGAAAAATCCACCGGGGCCAAAATGCGAAACCAAACTCCTAACTGTGTATTGCTACCTTAATAGTAAATATTTTTTTCAAATTCTCCCTTTTAACTAATTTTCTGTGTTCTGCTAGCTAAAACCAGTAAAATGGCCTTTTATTTTTGAAAATTGGTTGAGTAATGAATATTTTATGAAGGTTAGCAGTTGACACTGAAACGCGACAAAAACTGATTTAAAGAAAGGTGCCAAGTCAAAGTGTAAAATCTTTTTTCTACCTCAATTTTTGGCAAAATCTTAAAAACTATACCTCTTTTGTCAGTTTTTTAATGTTGAAAATCTTTATAAGACCTCTGATGATGCAAAATTGTACAAAATTTAACAATTTCAAGCATGAAAATGTTAATCTTTATGTTTAATGTATACCAAAGACTTGATTAAAAAACTTGGTAATGGGGAATCAATTTCTTACAGCTGAATCAACTATACATTTAATATTTGTCAAAATGTAACATGAAATCTTGATAAAAATAATAATTTGATATATTCGCAAGAAAAAATACAAAATATTCAATACTTAGGCTACTACATACTGCACAATCCTTCAGAAGCAAGGGTTAAGCAAATACAGTACACTTATAAGCCTTGTGTCAAAATGTCTAATTTTGGTTGCTAAGGACTGTAAACAATAAAATTGACATATATTGTCATTCTTAAACACTTAATCCTCTCAGAAGTTGACTTAGAATCTAAATATATATAGATTTGTGGTATGAAAAGTCTTAAATTATACAATTCTGAGCTTGGTAAGTATGCCATAAGGTAGCAATAAACAGTTAGGAAAAAATGTTAAAATTTTCCCTCATAAATTTTCCCATCCCCTTTTCATTGCCTTCTTGCAATATTAAGCTTACTGTTTGTGTCATATATGTGCATATGTATGTAATCAGAATCTTCCATAGATTTCATATCCAGTATATAAAATGGTTAAATATAATTTCTTTTTGGTGTATCCATGGCAACAATCTGCATTCTTTTGATATAAAATATAGCAAAAAGGGGGGAAAAGATGTCACATATTTTCCCAAAATTTGACCAAAAGTAGAATTTCAATCACTTCAAGTAATACCTTATCTGAAACTGTTTACATATATCTTTCAATAAATCCAATGAAAATCATATGTCTTTCGTCTCATTTTTTTGTAAAATTGCGTCAAAAACTTCGTGTAGAAAAAAAGTGTTTGTAAACATTACATTAATTTCTGGACCGATGACCGGTCTAGCTATGAAAATACGGAGAGTCAAACAGAAAATAGCCAATAAAACATGTAAAAAATAATCTTGATGTTCTTATAAACCACCTTTGAAGGCTAAATTAGTACTTAGCTGTCTAAAAATGAATTTTATTACACAATAACTTTCATATTTGAAAAATCCACCGGGGCCAAAATGCGAAACCAAACTCCTAACTGTGTATTGCTACCTTAATAGTAAATATTTTTTTCAAATTCTCCCTTTTAACTAATTTTCTGTGTTCTGCTAGCTAAAACCAGTAAAATGGCCTTTTATTTTTGAAAATTGGTTGAGTAATGAATATTTTATGAAGGTTAGCAGTTGACACTGAAACGCGACAAAAACTGATTTAAAGAAAGGTGCCAAGTCAAAGTGTAAAATCTTTTTTCTACCTCAATTTTTGGCAAAATCTTAAAAACTATACCTCTTTTGTCAGTTTTTTAATGTTGAAAATCTTTATAAGACCTCTGATGATGCAAAATTGTACAAAATTTAACAATTTCAAGCATGAAAATGTTAATCTTTATGTTTAATGTATACCAAAGACTTGATTAAAAAACTTGGTAATGGGGAATCAATTTCTTACAGCTGAATCAACTATACATTTAATATTTGTCAAAATGTAACATGAAATCTTGATAAAAATAATAATTTGATATATTCGCAAGAAAAAATACAAAATATTCAATACTTAGGCTACTACATACTGCACAATCCTTCAGAAGCAAGGGTTAAGCAAATACAGTACACTTATAAGCCTTGTGTCAAAATGTCTAATTTTGGTTGCTAAGGACTGTAAACAATAAAATTGACATATATTGTCATTCTTAAACACTTAATCCTCTCAGAAGTTGACTTAGAATCTAAATATATATAGATTTGTGGTATGAAAAGTCTTAAATTATACAATTCTGAGCTTGGTAAGTATGCCATAAGGTAGCAATAAACAGTTAGGAAAAAATGTTAAAATTTTCCCTCATAAATTTTCCCATCCCCTTTTCATTGCCTTCTTGCAATATTAAGCTTACTGTTTGTGTCATATATGTGCATATGTATGTAATCAGAATCTTCCATAGATTTCATATCCAGTATATAAAATGGTTAAATATAATTTCTTTTTGGTGTATCCATGGCAACAATCTGCATTCTTTTGATATAAAATATAGCAAAAAGGGGGGAAAAGATGTCACATATTTTCCCAAAATTTGACCAAAAGTAGAATTTCAATCACTTCAAGTAATACCTTATCTGAAACTGTTTACATATATCTTTCAATAAATCCAATGAAAATCATATGTCTTTCGTCTCATTTTTTTGTAAAATTGCGTCAAAAACTTCGTGTAGAAAAAAAGTGTTTGTAAACATTACATTAATTTCTGGACCGATGACCGGTCTAGCTATGAAAATACGGAGAGTCAAACAGAAAATAGCCAATAAAACATGTAAAAAATAATCTTGATGTTCTTATAAACCACCTTTGAAGGCTAAATTAGTACTTAGCTGTCTAAAAATGAATTTTATTACACAATAACTTTCATATTTGAAAAATCCACCGGGGCCAAAATGCGAAACCAAACTCCTAACTGTGTATTGCTACCTTAATAGTAAATATTTTTTTCAAATTCTCCCTTTTAACTAATTTTCTGTGTTCTGCTAGCTAAAACCAGTAAAATGGCCTTTTATTTTTGAAAATTGGTTGAGTAATGAATATTTTATGAAGGTTAGCAGTTGACACTGAAACGCGACAAAAACTGATTTAAAGAAAGGTGCCAAGTCAAAGTGTAAAATCTTTTTTCTACCTCAATTTTTGGCAAAATCTTAAAAACTATACCTCTTTTGTCAGTTTTTTAATGTTGAAAATCTTTATAAGACCTCTGATGATGCAAAATTGTACAAAATTTAACAATTTCAAGCATGAAAATGTTAATCTTTATGTTTAATGTATACCAAAGACTTGATTAAAAAACTTGGTAATGGGGAATCAATTTCTTACAGCTGAATCAACTATACATTTAATATTTGTCAAAATGTAACATGAAATCTTGATAAAAATAATAATTTGATATATTCGCAAGAAAAAATACAAAATATTCAATACTTAGGCTACTACATACTGCACAATCCTTCAGAAGCAAGGGTTAAGCAAATACAGTACACTTATAAGCCTTGTGTCAAAATGTCTAATTTTGGTTGCTAAGGACTGTAAACAATAAAATTGACATATATTGTCATTCTTAAACACTTAATCCTCTCAGAAG